TTCCGGAGACGTTGACTATCTTTTTGTTTTTGCCCCTACTTATTCTTATTTTTCTCTGTTGTTATGTGATTCTTAACAATGATGTAATTTATGATTAAGTGGGTAATTTAGAATGATTTGAACGTAAAGCATGTAAGATTGAATCGACAATGGCCCCGGTCCGAGGTGAACCGAGGTGAAGAGCCGTGATGGGCTTTTACGTGTTGCTTTATCAAGTTTTTTCAATTCGGAGAGGGATCCCTTTACAAATGTCATAGGCCCGCTATTTATAGTAATTTCGGGTTGATACATTGGGATCTGTGCATGACTTTTTCGAATAAAGCTACTTTTTGTGGGCGGTTCGAGGCAGGGGGTCCCACATAAATGATGACGGATCTTGTGGAGCTGGAGGATTAGACGTAGGCGCCTTGTCACCTGCTTAGGGAGGTGACGACCTCGGTTCATGTTGATCTCGGAAGATGTTGACCTCGGTAGTCGTTGACCACTTCGGTCTTTGGTGGTTCAGACCGGTACTTTGGTGTTGATTGGTGCGGTTCTGATTCACGTCGGTTTAACAGTTAATCGCATTTAATAGGATGCTTAAAACCTCTTAACAGTGTCTTGCCGAGTCGGATGATAACAGAGAGGCCCCCAACATCGATGGGCATACGGAGTGATGGTCGTTGATGTTGCAATATGCCAGGTATTTAGAGACCCTGGATCGGCAAGAAGTCGGCGGTAGGATGTGGTCTATGGTGTTCGGTGGATCATCTTCGGTCGATTTACTGATGTAACCGAAGTGGGTCATCTGTCCGAAGTGTAGACCGTATGCCGAGGTGAAGACACTTGGTAAAATATGAGTAACTTGCAGGCAGCTTGGGCAGGAAAAAGACGAACAGACGTAACGGTCAATTTAATGAGAGTGAATGGTTGCGCCGTAATGACCTTAAATGAGGTAACGGTCGACTTTAATAGGACGCCACGTGTATTTGTAGGTGCCTGTTAGGCGAAGAGGTGGTGTCGAGTGGAATTAGGGGTCGCGTCGGTTAGACGCGCCCCTAATTAAAGTCTCTAACGGTCGTGAATCGGCAATTATAAATAGGGTTTCGTAGCGTCTGATCGAACTTTCTTCACCTGTGCTTTTATTTTCGAGCTTTCATATCACTTGTTGTTTGAGTTCATCTGATATTCTGAAGAATCTTCCTTGCTTGCTGTGTGAGAGATTTTTGGTAAGCTTTTCCTTCAATTTCTTGTGTTATTTCTCTTGTATTTCGTTCAATCATACGATGGCGTCGAAAGGAAAGGGAAAGGCGGTGGCGAGTTCATCGAGCACGGAGTCGGTTCCGTTGGATGTTTATCACGATTCGGAATTGGTCGAGTTGGCCTTTGAATATCACCAGTGGGACCCGTCGTTGGTAAGGCATCTGAATATCCAGTTAAACGACGAGGATGGTGACGTGGTAGTTGAGCATAATGCAACCGACCTCGCGGTGCCGCATTGGAGAAGACCGGTGAGGAGGTGGCCCGATCCGGCGATTGATTTCATTGGGGAGCCAAGTATTCTTACCGACGCTGACGTCGTCATGTTGAGGGAACAAGTTCGGATTCCCCCCTCGGTGAAAATCTTTGCTCCTTATCCCGGGGAGAGAATAACAAGTCCCCCTCCGGGTTGCGTAGGCGTTTTCGCAGAGAGTTTGAGGTCGGGATTAAGGTTCCCGTTGCCAAACTTGATCACGGAATACCTCCGGAGTTGGGGGTTACCGTTGTGCCAGATCACGCCGAATAGTTGGAAAAAGATAATCGGATTGATGGTGTTACTGCACGAGAGGGGTGAAGGACTTCCCTCGTGCGATGAGATGAGGAGTATTTTTGCCTTCAAACAAAGTCCGAAGAGAAGGGTGGCTGAGTCGTCTTGTTGCTTTTTTGCCGGGGCGAAACCGCAACATGGTGTTAAAGTTGGGGAAATTGTAACTGAGATTCCGGAAAGTCTCCACGGTTTCCAAGAGGAATGGGTGTGGATAGGCGGAGAATGGCAGTCGGTGGATTTCTTTCATGAGCGCCGAATTGATGGGATGACAATTCCCATGTTAATTCATTCTGGAGCCAGTGAGTTTACTTTCTGTTTTTTCAATTCGGATATACCTGTCTGATTCTCGTATTGTTCTGTGTACTAACAGGTCGAAACTTTTACTCTGTTGTAGAAAAAGAGACGAAGCAAAAAGAACCGAAGTTATGTCCGGAATTCGGTGGGAAGTTGATAACCTTGGCCGGTTTGGATAAAGCAGAGAGGGATTATCACAAGCTTGTAGTTGACTCGAAACTTGAAGCGGCCGGTTTATCTCTGGGAGTCACGACATCGAAATTTGACCCCGGTAAGAAAAGTTTAGCCAATAAGTATATCGAATTTCTCGGTTTATCTCTGGGAGTCACGACATCGAAATTTGACCCCGGTAAGAAAAGTTTAGCCAATAAGTATATCGAATTTCTTCTCTTTTCTCTCTCTTTTTTTTTTTTTTGTATATATGAAGTAGCTGTTTGTAACTCTTGTCTCTTGTTGGTATGCAGTATATTATCCTCTCCTCGGGTTTTTGGGCTACAACTCTGTCAAGGAAGCCAAGGAGTTCAGGCGTAAATTTCCGAACAGAGACCTTCAATCTAAAGTCGGTAAGAGCCGTGATTTGAGACTAAACGACGCTATGAGGAGGGATCTTGTTCGTGCGTTGGTGAAGAAAACAGCTGGTCAAATGAATGCGGGAAAGAAATCGACCGAGGTGGGGTCGAGTGCCACTTCGGCTGCCATGCCGGAAAGTCCGAAGTCTGTGCCCGAGGTGGCGACTACCGAAGTGTTGTCGGTAGTAGAAGCTGTGGCGATCAATCAGGCTGATCCAGAGCCAATTATAGCTGGGACCGAAATGGTTACTACTGATGCTGCCCACATCGAGGTGCCACCAGCTTCCCCGAAGTCGCTTGAGTTGGAGCAACCAGAGAAGAGAAAGAAGAGGAAACTGGTGAAGATGGCGGACGTCGGTGCTACGTCCGGAGTGGAGAAACGGTCCAAGAAGAAGCACGACTCCGGTCGTAAGGCGACTGAAAAAGGTATTGATGACTCTCCCTTGTTTGAGAAGTCGTTTTTATCAATTGACGAGGAGCGGGCTGCCAGAGTTAAGGTGCCTGAGGGGGTGGTGGAGGATTGGTTTACCACCTTTTTGTCGGTGAAGTCCCCTCACATGTCATCGAGAATTGAAATGCCGGAGAATGCGAGAGATGCTGCTAGGGTCCCATTGATGGTTT